AATTTCTTGTAGGTTGCTAAAGTCGTATTGAAGTTATAATTTTTTTTGTGATTTTCGAAAAATAATCATGTGAGGGACCCAAAAATTAAGCTTGGAAACGTAGAACCTTGGAAACATGAAAAAATTTAGGGTCATAGCAATCTCGAGAGATGGATGGATTTTGATCAACAATGGTCTTAACACTGCTCATTTCAATTTTATGTGAGCGACCAGACCGTTGAAAATGATTGATATCAAAGTTTCCTGAATGAAATTCGGCAAACCAATTTTGACAGGTACGTTTGGTTAAGGCATTATCTCCATAAACACTGCTAATTTTTCTTTGAGCTTCTGCAGCACGCTTATCTTTCTTAAAATAATACAACAAAATATGCCGATAATGAATGACATTTTCTTCCATATTCACAGTGCAATAGCAAACACAATAGTAAACTAATTTCAATTGACATATTACAAACAGGATAAACAATCAATCTAAGGGATTAATATTTAGTTGTATAAATTACAGCGATATAAATATTAAAATTTGTATATATAAGGGTACTTGTACAAATAAAAATACTCCAAATATAATATAAATAATTTTCTTTTTACTTTCCCATTGTTCAAAATACTTATTTGTGCTAAAAACACACCTCACCAGATGCTTTTTGTTTTAAGGTAATATCATATATGATTGAAATCTACTAATTAGCCTTGTGTAAGATAAGATAACGTTGTCTGATTCACTTCGCTGCTTAACTATACTCAGCCGATATGTAGAATATTTTTATTTATATGCCCTTTAATTTTTTTTTCATTTGGACTACTAGATTGAGATTTAAAATTGGGTTAAGTTAGAATAGGAAGTTAACAATGAATTAAGAAAATAAAACGGAAAGATGAACATTTTTATTTTTATTTTTAATCGCTTCTCTACCTTTGTTTATCGTGAAAATCAAAAAAAAATCTTGTCATATTTCATTTAATGTTTCATACTAAAATTTACGTTTAAAATAAAGAAATCTACTGATTGCTTCAATTATTTTCATGAAAAAGTAAGTATTACTACTTGAATTATTAAGTACGTTACTTATAAATAAGCATTCATTTATATGAAATAAATCTGGCAAAAAACACGATTTCGTAACTATCTTGCATGGAAAATATTTGAAAGTCATTTCATTTCCTACTTCGTTTAATATCGTAATTTTCTGCTAGAAACTGGGCGATTGTTTATATGAACTTTTTTGTAGATCATTAATGACTACTATCGACCTTTTTAATATTTCTCTCTACTTACGAGTCATCCTGTATATCTAGGGATATATTATTAGAATAAAAAGAACCATTTTCTATTCTATTCACATTTCACGCCATATCTAACGCTGAACATGACAATTACATATAAATAAAAATAATGATGTCTTATTTTTTAAGTAATTATCGTTTTTATAATATACAATCTGATATACCTGTTTGTAATGAGAAATCTCGAATTATCAAATATTTATGAATTTATTTATATGAATTTTTTTTTTAATAAGTATTTTTCGTGTAACGATAACAATAAAATCGCTGTTACAATAAATAATAATAAATACTAATATGGTTATTAATTATTGTACTTACCATTATCCAAAGGGACATAGCTGTACAGACGTTGCTTCATACCTGTTCAATATAAATGCTATATATGAACTAATCCGTTTCATATATATTTGACGTCTGGTTTAGGTTTGACGTGTCTTATCAACACTTATATATTTTTACAATTTGAACGTGTTATATTTCTCTGAATTAAATTAAAGCTTTTCTTTTTAAATTAATATATGTTTATTTAATTTATAATATGAAAACGTAAAGCATACTATTTAGTTATCTAGGGTTGAAAAACAATTCCTTTATGTTTTTCTGTCATTATGATACTCTTTATCTAATGAATTAATCCCTAAGGTAGATTGATTATCCCGTTTGTAATATGTTAACAACTATATCTGTTAATACATGTTGAAACTAGCTTAATATTGTGCTTGCTGTTACACTGTGAATATGGAAGAAAATATCATTCTTTTTCGTCATATTTCATTGTATTGTTTTTAAAAAAGTATTTTTTTCACTACATATATTAGATTGGCTGATCAACCCGTCGTTGATCGGTGTATAGTTATGGATTTTGTATTATGTGGAGGAGGGTCCAAATTTAATTTCATACGATTGGGTGGGGAAGGAGGGTTGTTTTGAATTTGTTTATGGCGGGGCTTATGGAAGTCAAGGTTTCGCAGTACTAATAATAAAAATTTTGTCATTCGGCAAAATTTGTTTAGGTGCCACCACACAACTAAACCGGCAACCAATTAAAATTTTTTAAGTGTTAAATTTTTATTTATGATGAAGCGAGGAGATTGTTTAGTCGATTGAAATAATCAAAAAGAGTTATAGTCTTACCACTTCTGCTGCTCAGAACTCTACTGATTTTATCACAGACAAAATAACATTGTACATCGAGTCACCTACACCCGTGAACAATTAGGACTTGATCTGAGTATTTTGGCGGAGGAGGGAGGGAGGGGGGAATTTTTGGGAGTTTTCCCCCCGATTTTCGCTTCCGAAGTTTTTTTTTTCTATCAGTTGAATTTTTTTTATCAGTTGAATAGTTCATAAAACTAAATACAACAACGTTAATGAAAGCCGGTAAAGAACTAGGACTCGAAATAAACCTGGATAAAACAAAATATATGGTTAGCTGCAAAAATGGCGATACTACTGGTGATATCGATATAGATGGTAATATGTTTGAACAGGTAGAGAAATTTAGGTATCTAGGTTCTACGATAACTAGAAAAAACGAAATTGAAGAAAAGATTAAGGTTAGACTGCAGGCGGGAAATGCTTGTTATTTTTCTGTGACAAAACTACTTAGTTCGCGCCTCTTGTCCCGGAACTTAAAAATTAGAATCTATAAAACAATTATCTTGCCTACAGTTCTTTATGGATGCGAAACTTGGCCACTTACATTAAGGGATGAGCAGCGTCTTAAGGTTTTTGAAAATAAAATATTGCGTAGAATATTCGGACCGAAGAAGGATGAGTTAACCGGAGAGTTCAGACGGTTACACAACGCCGAATTGCGTGAGCTGTATCCGGGTAATATAATTGAGGTAATTTCATCGCGGCGAATCAAATGGGCTTGTAAAGTTGCTGGGCTTAGTAAAGAGAGAATTCCTAAAAGGTTAATATTTGCTGTGCCGAATGGCAAGCGTCCGAGGGGTAGACCGAAGCGAAGGTGGGAAGATTGCATTAAAGCCGATCTGAAGGGACGAACGGTGGAGGGAGGTGTGTAACAAGCGATTGGTGATGTCAGCATCGAACCTTCGGGTTCACTAAGCCTTTTATTATTATTATTATTATTATTATTTAAATAAAGTTGAATAATTCAGCTGTTAAATGTGGCTAACGATGGAGTAGGTTGGGATGAGAATCGAAGTAAGTAACTGCCTAACCGGGAGACAAATTACTCAAGAATTCATAACTTCTAGTTCTACTCAATATTTTGTTTTCATTTAAAGTCTATGTTTTAAGTCAAGCGAACTTTAATATAATGTTAAAATTTCAAAAGTCTACCATCAGCCATTGCTTAGGTTACCCCTGACAAAATTTCGTTGGACAATGCGACAAACAGACAGACAAAAATTTTTTTAAAAGTTTATTTGGTGTCTGTAGGGTATGCAACGGAAATATATGATGAAACGGGTTGATTCTATTCAATGTACACACAAAACCTTTATTTTATTTATACAGATATCTGTACATAATAATTAAAGTAGATTGTTAAGTGAAATACGAGTGATGTACGCCGAAGCAAATATTTACTTTCAAAAATACTAACTTAATTTTTGCCTTCACGTTTTGAAACATGGTCTTAAATTTTTTTTCCTTGCAATTTTCAGAGCTGCTAGGTAAAATATCTGGTGTGTCCACTCACACGACTTTCCTACCTATTTCAGAAATGTTTTTATATCTTTACATAGTTCATGAAGAAACAAAAAAAAATTAACTAGACAGATTTTCCTGAAAATTGATCAAACATTAGATTTGAGTACGATTTATTTGATAAACTAAAGCAATGCAAACCGGCTTAAGGTAGATCAGTGTAAACATTTCAATACTTTCTAATATTGCTGATCAAAAACTTTTTGCCATAGCTTAGTATTGTCAAACAATAATTTCTGTTAAAGGTAGAGGAAATAGTGAAGATTGTGTGATGCGGGCAACAGATTTTCTTACTTTCACTTAGTCATCTTGATTCTCTCAAGTCACCAGGATATGAAACCGTAATCTTACATTGGAAATTGAATAGCTGTAACTTCGTTAATAGTTGTCCAAAATGCACGATTTTTAAATAGTTTTGAAGGGAATTTCATTGTCTTTCGGGGCTCTCAGGGGGCTTTGCGCTACAGTCTATAGAAAAACATGTTTTTGATTTATTGCGCGCAAGCTATTGCTCATGGAACACCGAATTTCTGTCACAGGCATCAGAGGTCAAAACCCTACAAAATAAAAAAAGAAGCAAAAAAATCGGTACTGTAGTTCCCAAGAAAATCTTGGCACAGACAGACAGACAGACCAATGGCTAAAAATGTGTTTTACGGACTCAGAGGGCTGTGAAAAGTATAGATCCGTCGAAAACCGCATTTCGGAAATTTGACCCGATTGCAATACTTTCCTTACCTAGTGTAGGTAGGAAAGTAAAAAAGTATTGTCATAGGTCTCAAATTTTTAGTATCTAGTCCACTAAGTATTTTTTTAAAGATTCATAGTCCTAAAAATGTATTTCTGATCATTGTTCTGTATATGATTGTTTTCAAACATCAGATCGTGAACGGATAGACTTTATTTGTTGCCATTTTCTCCTAAATGAATCTAAAATAATCACAAGATGGCCGAGTAAATCAGATGATTAGATTTCAATACTACAAAGAACTGTGCCAGTCTCTATATGAATGGACTTATACATGTGAATGGACGGATACAAAAGGCAGAGGGGAAGTTCTGATAAGCTGAGGTCGCCTAATAGGAAGTTTGATAAGCCTTCTCATGAAAGATAAATTTACTCTCCAACTCACATATCATTCAGAAATCAATTTAGGACTTATTTACTAAAGTTTTATAGGGTTGGAAAATAAGTCCTTTCGTTTTTTTCTATTTATTTTTATGTCACTTATTATCTGATGAATTAATCCCTAATGTGGATTGTTTACCCTATTTGTAATATTTCAACTGTTAACTCTTGTTGAAACTAGCTTAGTATTGTGTCTTCTATTGCGCTGTGAATATGGAAGAAAATATTATCCATTATCTGCATATTTTGATTATTTTAAAAAAAGGTAAGCGTGCTGCAGAAGCTCATAGAAAAATTTGCAGTGTTTATGGGGATGATACCTTAATCGAACGCACCTGTCAAAATTTGTTTGCCAAATTCCATTAAGATGCTGATGCTCGCTCACATGAAATTGAAACAGGCAATGTTAAGGCCATTGTTGATCAAAATTCCACCCAATCAGTGCGAGAGATTGCTATGGCGCTAAATGTGTCGCACACAAGTGTAGAAAACAATTTGCACAAGGCCGGCTATGTTTCGAGGATTAATGTTTGGGTACTTTACATGATTTTTTTTCGAAGATCACAAACAATTTTATAACTTCAATACGACTTTAGCTACCTACAAGAAATTTAGCAGGAATCTACTGCTACATAGACTACACAATATGACACCAACAGGAACTTCGTAAACAAACTACAAATGGAGATAAAAAATATAAACCTATAAGGGGTTTTTGTTGATTTATTCCTTATCTAGACATTAATTAAAAAAAAGCATTCATACTACTTTGAAGAGCCATAATTCAGCTTTCTATCGGATATAGTAACATCGCATTTGGAGAACATCTTAAAGAATTAAGAATGATCGGAAGGGTTTTGTGTTTTACCAAGTGTTTTACCTAGGCCTCACACTTCATTGGTCACTCTTATTAATGATTAAACCTTAGATAAGACCTTTTGCACCACCCTCCCCATTCACCAGACCTAGCTCCAGGTGACTACCACTTTTTTCGGTCTCTTCAGTACTCCATGAATGGAAAGAAATTCCAAAAAGAATAGGGCATAAAAACAAGTTGGATTAGTTTTTCTAACAATAAACTCCAAATATTTTATGAACACGGCATTATGCAATGAGTGCAAAAATGGGAAAAATCATATTAAATAATGGTCCATATATTTTAGATTGAAATAAATTTTATGTCTATAATATATTTAGTTTTATTTCACACTGAAAAACCGAAAAGACTTATTTGCCAACCCAATATTTTTGAACATATTAGAGTTCACTAGCTGTAGATCGATTTTAAAAAGGTTTACGATTGTATTGACCGCTATACCTAATGTTATTTTAATTGAGCAGGGGTTTCCATGCAGCTCTATTTTATCTTCGTTGATTCGATCTATCCCTCTGCTGTTTGGCCTTTGTGGTATTTTACTTACTATTGAAGCATGCACTATTGTTATTGTTGCAATAATGCGAGACAAAGACGAGTCTTGGTCTTGAGCACTCAGCTTTAGTCTTGGTCTTGCGCAAGAGTCTCGCAACAGTCTTGCAGTTACCAATAAGCTTATTACTTTGGAGATATTACTTTTTAAGATAGAAGAAATCTAACTAAGCCCGAATGAAAAATTAAAAGAGTTAAATGAAAAAGTATATTGATCATATCAATTCATTACATGTAATAACTAAAATTGTCAAATATTATTAACTGTTTCGCCATAATTTTATTTTAAAAATCGTTGTTTTTTTTACTGGTCTTGGTCTCGGTCTTGCAACAGTTAGGCAGTCTTGGTCTTGTTCTTGCAAAGTGCAAGACCAAGACCAATTTTGGGCAACATTATTTATTGTGTAAGGGCTTCCAGGTGGATTACTCGGAGCAGCATGGACCGCCAATCTTGACCTCCTTGCCTTCATAAATTAACAGTACTATTAGTAACTAATTAATTAACTGGTTCGCCAGTTAATTAATTAGTTACTAATAGTAATATTAACAACTATTCTCCGTTACGATCTCTTATTTCTCCTTTAGTAAATTATCAAATTCTTTCATATTTTATATTTAACTATCTCTCATAATACAGATTAATGTAAAAATGTCAACTGTTTCCAATACAAAAAATTAATAGTAGTTTAGAGTAAGATAATATTTGAAAATTAGCCATTTAAGCCCTGTTATAGAACATCAATCAGAATAGAAACTGCATTTTATTTAAAACTGCTTAATTTTACATTGACATAATGAATTTAATCGAAATCGACTAGTATTTCCGTAGATTAATTTCCCGAAAAATCATTTTTATTTTTGTATCCTTTATTCAATCATCAATTTCTTTCAAAAGTTAAAAGTTATTTGTATCATTTTTTCGAAACTTTTAATAATGAGAAATAGTTGATTAATTAAAATAAACCAAATTAAAGGTACTTTAGAGGAATACGTATATGAGCATTGGGCATTTAAGCAATATAAAGTGACATCAACGGGAATAAGACATACATGATATTAAAAACCACTTAATTATGCAACGATGCATGGAGTTTAATGAAAATCGTTACAGCCGTTTTCGAGAAAATCGTAAAAAAGTGTTTAGCCCACTATTTAAAATACCACTTCCGGTTAGCCGAATTTGACGATAAAGTTTCTGTAACATTCCTGGCATATGAAAACCTCAAATATGCAATTTCACATCCGTACGACTTTTCGTTTTTGAGCTAGACTGTTAACACACACACACACACACACACACACACACACACACACACACACACACACACACACGCGCGCGCGCACACACGCACACACGCACCCACGCACGCACGCACGCACGCACCCACGCACACACACACACACACACACACACACACACACACACACACACAGATATGCATACACAATGACTATTTTGAGGTACTTGATTATTCGGACCAGGAGGACCTCAAAACATTTATTTCCGTTGAAGACTGAGATTCGAAAATTTTCACGATCCCAATACTTTCCTTTACTATAAATTTCATATATAGGCAAGTGAAAGTAATACGCTGATTTGAAAATGATAGAATTAATTAATTGATGTTATTTGTTATTGTATATTCTACCTACAACACTGTTACTGGCAACACTGTCAGATGTGACGTCAGTGATCACAACAATGTATACTCTCTCGATATGGCTTCTATGTTTGTAGTGTTCTTCCACAATAAACGTTTCTGTATTGTCTGTGTTTGTTTCATAAAGAAACCCTAACCATTATTAACAGAAAATGTAATTAACGTTTCATTATTACCTCTGGACAATTTACTTTATCCTTTCGCAGGAGTTATCGAAAGGGTGAGCAGAATTATCCTGTTCGCGACCAGAGGAGCGGTGACTCTTGTACAATCCGCTTACGACATCGTGGTCCTCAAGATCAGGGAACTCTCGCCCGGCGGAAAGATAAGGCTACGCTTCCTGGTATACCTGACCATCATCCTGTCTTTGAACTACTTTTCCACGATTGGAATGACAAGCTCTCCGGAGTGAGTATGATGATTCCTCTCTAGCTAGTCTGTCTCCATCCAAATAGTAGAAGAGATGGAACAAACATTAATCAATATGGTTAATTAATTAATTAATTAATATGATTACAGACTATTGCAGTTCCTCAACTATAACACCTCTGTTACTAAACTAAGCCTCTCTTACGTTACCGGCTACATGTTCATAACCTACATCAGCAGAAGGCTGAGTCCGTTCCTGACCCACCTCGGGATGATGGTCATACCCTCGATGTTCATCTGCCTCTTGGAAGAAGAGGTCCTTTGGAAGGCCTACAGGATAACCTTCTGCTCTTTCTTGTTCCTCGTCTACGTGTCCTCGATAGTGCCACGCCAGGACTCGATGACTTCCATCGGTCCCATCACTGTTATCGTATCCGTGTGTAAGTTTCTTTATCCTCTCCATAGTATTGTTTATTATTCTTATAAATATGATTTTCATTTTTATAATGCCATTGTGAGATAGAAATACTTTAATCTTGTGGAGTTCTGATTTGCCGTCCATAGTGGCCAAATTGAAAATATGAACTAAGAACCTCAAAATAAGAAAAAAATTTCCTCAAAAGGTATGTCCGCTAACGCTTTGTTTACCAGGTATTCACACCTAAATATTTTCGTAGTTATGAATTATATACGTTAAACGAAATAAATAAAACCTATTTATGTGTTCTAACTACTTCAATAGTTAGATTCAAACATTAACATTTATAATAAATGTTGTTCAAAGTGATTTCTTGGGCATTAAGACATTCTCGGCATCTTTCTTCAATAGCAGCAGTGGCAGAACGGAACTGGAGATATGTTGTTGTTTCACAAGATTAAATTATCCTTCTTCGTAAGGAGTTAAGGTCAATGAACGAGCTTTTTGTTTAAAACTACCCAAACAATGTTGCCAACAGTTTTTATATAGTTATGGATAAAAGGCCATATTAGTATTCTATCTAATCATCTCCTAAACAAAGCGTTTGCGAACATACCTTCACTTTGAACAATATTTAATATGAATTTTAATGTTTAAATGTAAATAATTCATTATAACGGAAATCTTTAGGTCATAATATCTCCTAAACAAAGCGTTTGCGGACATACCTTCAGAGGAACTTTTTTTTATTGTTTGAGGTGCTTAGTTCATATTTTCAATTTATCCAGTTAACCCTGAAACACCTTGTACTTATGTACAATAAGTATCGTGTAGACTAAGTATTGTGAGTAAAATATTTTTTATCTTTGAAATATGTAATTATATTAAATGTAAAATACAACAAGTAAATATGAAATTAGTAACATGACATGTACATCATGAAGAGAAACTTCCCATTGGTAGCACTCCAAACTATATTTATGTATTAGATAGTTCCGAGGCCATCTTCTTTTCTGAAGCACCGGCTGAGCTATCAGGAATAGAAGAGGAAGCAAGGTTAGAAACGAGAGAGTTCGGATAGTTCAAACGTTTATAATAGAAGGATACGTATCTGGACTGTGCTAAATCGGAAACATATGTTACATTAAGGTCGTCATTAATAATTTTATTTGTGACAAAGTAAGGAGCATTGAGGATTTTTCGAATGATTTTGGATTATAAGGATTGGATACGATAGGAATTCGATAGTTTAGTGGAGCCCCAAAGCTCTAACCCGTAAATCCATATATGCCTTAATATATTTATGATGTTTTATACTCATACCTCAAATCTTTTGTAAATAGTTGGAGGTATAGAGCGTTTGTCTAGTAAGTGCTGCAGTAGTCGAAAACGGTTCTAGTCTTTTCAGTCTCGTATGTGGATTCCATGTCAATCGTTTGTCCAGGTGGAGTCCTAGGTATCGGATTTGTTCTACATGGATAAGAGGGCTATTGTTGAAGGATACTGTAGGACAGGGAGTCATAGGTTTACGACGAATAATGAAGGTGATTTGATGGAATTCATTGGAATTTAATTTAATCTTTCAGTTTTGACACCATTCTTCAAGACTTATTGTATGTGATTGAAGAGTTTGCGATCCAATAGATGGATCGTTATTAACAGATAGGATACACGTATCACCGGAATAGGTGGTGATGACAGTATTGGGTCTATTGCTTAAGATAGAAAGGAGCCGTACCAATTTAATAATAGTTCAGAAAAAAACCGTATTCCCTCTCTGGAACAATTATTCGACCGAGAAAAGAAGTAGGGAAACAAAAGAGGGGGAAATATTTTTGGTTAATATGAACAAGGAGTCGGTTAAGAAAAGTTCTTGACAGATCAGTCAAGTTGAGTCTTTTAGAAGAGTTTTTAGGAGAAAGAAGTCTAGCGAAGATGTGAGTTGGAAATACACGTAAGAGGACTTGGAAGAATTACCTACGAGGAGCAAAGATGGTTGGGACGGAGAAAGCAGTCAAGAATATCTTCATCGAGATAACAGCGGCACCTGAAGAAAGTAGTTGTCAGTATATATTCTCGCGAACAGTTAAGCCATAATAGTCATCCAAAATATACTAATGTAAATCTTTGTTGGCCATCTATAAAATAATATTCTATGGTACAGACCCCTTTTTATCAAATTATTAACATCCGCTTGAAACATGGTAAATAGTTTCATATTATCGCAACTTACATATATTTAATTTACAAAAATCTCTGGAGCGGGGTAGCTCAGTGGTAGGGAAGTAAGCTTCCAATATTTGGACACTAAGTCTCAGGTTCGAATCCCGGTTCATGGTAGAAAAATTATTTATTTTGTTTCATTGGCCATGGGATGACCCAGAGGTAGTGAGACGCTCCTGGGGCACACCCAGCCTCTATAAAGTGGATACCCATAATTAAATAATTAATAAAGGAGGAAAACCTGGCGGTTGATGATGATCCAGCGTGATCCAGGTCCGATCTCCTCTCTGCACAACCGTTGGCCTTGAAACAGTACTTTCCCTAAACAGGACTGAACCGAGGATCCTTCATGGATTGTAGTAGTACAGGAGTCTCGGAATGGGACATTTTCAATCTGGAGGTCCGTGACCTTTGTCTATTTAATTATGTACTAAAAACTCGTAAATATCCATTTGCTTTCCACTTGGATCTTGAAATAATTTGATCTTAAAATCGATAAAGAAGGTGACCAACAAATATATTAGTCCTTTCGGCCTATATAACCTCGTCATTTTGACAATGTGGGTACGTATGTCACTCCAAACGGCTCAATATTTTTGAAGGCCACCTATTTTCTGTATTTTGTGATTAAATTATCTTGCTAGTGAAAAGCAAATGGGTATTTACGAGTTTTTAGTACCTTATTAAATAGACAAATTTTGCCGATCTCCAGATTGAAAGCGCCCCAATTACGAGACTTTTCGTAAATAAAACATTTGTTGTTTACGGTGAGATGTAGTTAAATATGGAGTTTAAGGCGGATGTTAATAATTTGATAAAAATGGTGTTTGTACCACGGACTATAATTGAATGATTAGTCATGCTCACGTGAGCATCCTCAATAAAATATCCGCAATGCATTTATAATATTTATATCACAAATTGATCTTTTTTATACTGAAATTTTATTTTTAACGTATTTTCTTATTTAATATTTAATGTTCAACCATTTAACCATTTGTCGTAAGAAGCAGATTAGGTACTGCCGTATAGTTTATCTTCAATATTCTGTGTTCACAGTATTTATTTTTATTTACTATTTATTTTTAATTCATGGAATATATTTCAATTCACACATCAACACCCTTCTTGATGTATTTATTAACCATTTTTTAAGTAGTTCAGAAGTTTGTTACTAAATATTTTTGTAATATTCAAATATATATTTATGTTGGTTGAATATATATGTGAGTTGTGGTTCCAGCAAGCCTGTACCTCTCACTGCTGATGTACGTCGTGCCTGAGCTGTTCTCGTGGCAGAGCAAGGCGTGCCAGATGTCCTGGTACTTCGGGATCATGCTGGCCTCTTCGGGACTCATCGTCGACGACCTCCAGGTGGTGATGGGATCCTCCGGGTTCCCAGTCGGTCTGGTGAAGAGGCGTGCCCGGAAGTACGCCTACGTCATCTTCGCCTACTACCTGGTCTTATTTTACTCAATCGCCAAGCTCCTTTCTCTGGAGTTGGAAGGGTTGACTGTGGAGGGCGTCCCCTGAAGACTTATTTTATGAGACTTAATGAATTAGTAAGTCATATTATTGTAAAATATACCTGCATCAAGAGAATTTTTTGGCTTATTTTTCTTATAAAAGTCATGGGCAAAGTTTACTTTGGCTCAAGGATGATAGCACGTGCTACGGAGAAATTGAAAGTATAATAAAATTGTCCGTGGTTCAGACTCCTTTGTATAAAATTATTAAAGTCCACCTGAAACTTCGTAAATAGCTTCTTCTGGTCATAATTTACAAATTTTGAATTTTGAATAGTAAGATAATATGATCATATAACAGGGATGCAAAAATATTGATGGGTTTGGCCTTTTTAACCTTGTAATTTTAACTTTTTTGAGTCGGAAGTCACGTCAAACGGGACTTATGCCGTACTGCATAAAATGCCAGCCAGTTCTGGGACCACTGCTTTGAATAATTGATAAATAATAATAAATGAACTTTTAATATTCATAGTTATTTATTTAAAAAATAATATTTTTATACCAGTATGTAAACGTTCCTTTAAAATTTAATCCACGAGGTCTTGAATAGGATTCCTATCCCTTCGAAATCAAAATAAAAATCTGGTGTGCCCACTCGCACGACTTTCCTACCTATTTCAGAAAATTTTTTATCTTTACATATGTTCATCAAGGAACAGAAAAAAATTAATTAGATTTATTTTCCTGCAAATTGATCAAAAAAAAAAAAAAAATTGGGTACGATTTATTTGATAAACTAAAGCAATGTAAGCCGGCTCAAGTAACCGGCTCTGAAACGTATATATCCGTCGAAAACCGCATATCGGAAATTTGACCCGATCGCAATACTTTACTTACCTAATATAGGTAGCAAAGTAAAAAGAATGGCTACTAGAACATGTGGTTATTAAATGAATAAATATGGTTGAAGAAGGGTGTATATAATAAGCCGATGAAGCAATAATAATCCACATAAAGTAGTTATATATGAAATAGTTAATAGCGGTTGAGAGAGTAGCGCAGGGATCTCTTGGTGTCCTGCCTTTCTCTCTATAGTTGGAGGGAGGCTTGGGGTTCCCTGCCTGATTGAATATAGGTATGACTATTTTTTTAATTTACCTTTCTTTAGGTTATTATATTTTTTATTGTACATAGTTTTTAGTTATTATTTTACTTTTGCTAATTTTATAATTTCTATATATATGGTGTGAATGTGTTCATATATTACTATAATTATTGTCCACGTGACAGATTATTATATTTCTAAATGAATAAATACAATAATTATTTATGTGAAAAAAAATATAAAACAAAAATTAAATTTAAAATTTTAATTCGTCTTGGAACGAATTTGATTTTGGGAATGTCTAAATCAGATTTTGATTAAATTTCAAGGATTGTGATGATGTATACCATCAACTTTCGGTTGCACATTCACAAATGCGTTTTTCCTTTAGACACCTATTTTCAATAAACGGCTCATCCAAAGGGTTTCTAGTTGCAAGTATGTTGGTACCAGTATACAAATGATCCAGAAATAATTCTATTAAATGTCGTAAATCTCCCCATCCCTTTAGGAAATAAATGTGTGCTCTCTTATACATTTGTTTTAAACTTATATACTTAATCCAACTGGTAAATAACCTATATTGTCATATATGCTTGGCGAAGGTTTTATTCGAAACTCTCAGTATTCAACATTAAATATTATTGAACGTAGAGAATAAATTTATGATGGATCAAAACATTCAAAAATCAATTCACATTTCTGTTTTTGTATCATCTGTGATGGCAAAGATAGATCATTCATGAAGGAGAGGTCAAGAAGAACGGAAGTTCTGTAACTGGTAGTTCGGTGGCGAACTCATTAGGCGCTGTAGGCTCGTTGAATTGTATCAGGATTATCAAGTAAGTTGTGGCAGCTGCTAACATCTAAAACATATGTTATTAATATTAATTTAAAATTTTATGGAGGATATAAACAATATATTTTTTGGAAAAAAAAATCTACGTTGTGCGCTCTAGACCACACGAAGTGAAAACATCAGCATTAATAATATGAAATATAAATTTTCCTTTGTTCTAAAATCATAAAGTAATAAAATTTAAAATATGAAATAATTGCTGTTGTGTATAAACTATTTTTTGCTCTATAATCACAAAATAATAACATTTACAATTTATAGCTCATTGCAAAGAGAATGAACTCCTGAACAATTCCCCCAGTTCTCTTTTTGCGTCTCTAATACAGCGTTATGTTAAGATGCTCTGTTGTATTCAACAGTGAGCACGTAGCTTTCTCTGAAAGATTAATGAAAAAAGCTATTATTCTAGCTAGTGTTGCCCAAATTCGAGACCGAGTCAAGTCTTGGTCTTGCAAACTCAGTCTTGGTCATGGTCTTGGTCTTGCGCAAGAGTTAGCAACAGTATCGCACTTACTTATTAGCTTATTGCTGTAGAGATATTACTGTATAATTTTTTAGGTAGAAGAAACTTAAGTAAGAACGAATGAAGAATTAGAGGAGTTAAATGCAAAACTATATTGGTTATACCAATTATTTACATATAGTAACTAAGATTGTCATGTATTAGTAACTATTTTGCCTTCATTTTTATTTTAAAAATCGATTGTTTTTTACCAGTCCTGGTATTGGTCTTGCAACAGTTAGGCGGTCTAGACCAAGACCGATTTTGGGCAACACTAATTATTGCCCATTATAAAGAAGATAAAATGCTGAAAATTCTCTTTGCTTACAGTATGCAGGTCCGATTTTTAGTTTCTGAGATATTTTAATCCATATCTTCAATAAAGCTTGTTATGATATGGTTTTCAACACTATTTTCCCCTTTTTGTCTCTCTAACACGACGTCGCGTTAAGATAATCTTTTGAATAATAGCTCATTAAAAAGAAGCCGAAATCCTGAAGATTTCCCTCGCTTAATATATACAACTCGATTTTTAGTTTCTGAGATATTTTAATTCACATGTTAAAACACTTCAATTAGTGCACTCTGGAGTCGACTTTACCATAATGTGCGTTACATATCAAAGTCTGACGGCTGTCTCGTTCACTCCCCACAAAAAAATGCTAAGCACCTAAAGAAGTTTTCAATTAAAAAACAAAACAAGATATATATATAAAATATTTTACTGATTTAAGGAGCATTCGGTAATTATCATATAGTAATATAATTATATAACGTTTATGTTTTACTAAAATTAAATGGAATATGACCAACACTTACGGAATGGACCAAGGTATAATCCAGATCGAAGAATCCATAAGCTGTGAAGATCACTTGTCTTTTCATTGCGATGTGAGTCCGAAGCTTTCTCTGAAAAATTAATGAACAAAGCAAACATTCATATTATAAAATGGATAATATATCATAAAAAATATATAAACATACAATAACAGTATAAATATATGTAACAGCAAAATAGAAGGTAATCTAATAAAAATATTAATAATCTAAAAGAATACAACAAAACTCTAACCACACAGTCTTGGATCTCTTAAATGCTGGAAAAGAATAAAACACGTAAACGTTTTGTCAATTTAGGCACCATCAGGACAGAAAAACAAGATCATCACGTAGATGGTTTACCTGTATTTTAGAGTGATAAGAGTATGCGGTGTGTTTTTTTTTACTTTCCCTTACTTATATATGTAATATATATTAAGAGAAAGTATTGCGATCGTGAAAATTTTCGTATGTTAGCAGTCTACCTCAAAACCGAAGTCTCGTATGAAACTGATATTACGTATTTAAGATAGGCATATGCTTTAGATGTGACAGCAACTTTTTTTATTAAAATCGGCTAACTGGAAGTGACACTCTATATCATCGATGAAACACATTTTTACGATGTTCTTACAAACGACTTCAACGATTTTGATTAAACTCGGTGTATCATTGTATAATTAAGTGATTTTTAATATCATTGAGCGCTTATTCCGATTGATATCACTTTACAGAGCTTAAATGCTTGAATGTTCAACATTTGGTTTATTTTAAATAATTAACTATCTCTCGTTATTAAAAGTTACGAAAAAGTGCTAAATACAACTTTTGAAAGAATTTGATAATTGAAAATGGAGGAAAAAAGGAAAATATTTATTCAGGTTGAAAATGAATTTCCAGAAATACTAGTCAGAAGGTATATCTATAACATATCGTTGGAAAACGGATTATTTTAGAAAACAACAATCTATGATATGGAAAGTCGTAGAAAGCAATGGAGATTGACGAAAAATTATAAATAATACTTTGTGGAAACTAATTTTATTTAACGGAAATCACATGATTTCAAGAAAATTAAATAGAATTTATAAATTAAATGTAAACGTTTAAAAACTTTATTAAGTTTGAAGAAAAGTATTTAAAATCCATCTAGAAGAACAGCTGTTGATGTTAAATAAGGTGAAAGGTTAATTTAGTTTTGTCTTCCAAAAAATGTGTTAATTAAGTGTACATACTTAATTTTTGTGTAATAAAAGTGTTTTATCAAGACAAGATTGCTAAGGACGTAACACCAAACAAAAATTGAGCGGATTTCACCGCCAACAATGGTGGAATCATCTCAAACTGAGGTAAGTAACATGAACTTTAAAAACAGTGATATAAACAATGAAGACGGCTCCTGGGAACTGGTTATTGGTCGTAAAAGACCTATGATAGATTCGAGCGAGCCAAGAGCTCAAAAACGACCGACAGAATCTATCCCAACCTCGAACAGTTTTCAGGTTCTAACCAACATAACTAATTTACAAACAGAAAAAGTTAGAAGAACGCCTCAAAACGATAAAACTCCACCAATTTTTATAAACGGTGTTGAGAATTACCATGCATTAATCTCATTTCTAGAAAACGAAACGGGTCCTAATATGTTTAAAACGAAGTCTACATTGAAAGGTGTCACTGTGTACCCAGAAAATCCTGACGTTTATCGAAAATTAAATTCTAGCCTGCGAAATAAAGGTGCCGACTTCCATACTTACCAACTTCCACAGGACAAATGTCCAAGGATTGTTGTTAAACATCTTCACCATGGAACACCAGTCGATATCATTAAAGAAGAATTTAAAAAATTGGGTTACGAAGCCACCAATGTAGTTAACGTCATATCTCGATTTAAAAAACCCCTTCCTATGTTCTTTGTGGACATTACAAAAGAGACATTTAGAGAAGAAATTTTTAATGTTGAATTTCTATATTATTCACATATTAAAATTGAGGAACCGCGTCAAAAGAGAAATATTCCTCAGTGTGTTCGGTGCCAGCAATATGGGCACACTAAAACTTATTGCAACCATCGACCACGATGCGTAAAGTGTGGTGAATATCATGAAACCAGCTCATGTTTGAAAACCAGAGACACTCCCGCGAAATGCGCCAACTGTGCCGGTCAGCACCCCGCTAATTACAGAGGTTGCCAGACGCTGAAAGACCTCAGGGTTCAGCGCAATGCAAGAAATCGTCTTCAGCGTTCCACAGTAGCAGAGCCAGCGCAGGGACCTCCAGGCATGCATGAATTCCCCCCAATGCGGCAACGTCACAACCAAGGGGAACCACAGATCATCGCAGGACCTCCGCAACAACAAAATCAAACATCATCTAGTTCAGCACCCCCGAACCAGACAACATGTACAGGTACGAGGAGAGGCATTACCCAACCGATACCTCCGGTAGATAATGGCTCTTCCCAATTATTTAATATAATTAATGGATTAAATAACCTAATCCAGCCCCTTTTCATTCTTCTTCAACAACTGTCACAGGTTACACAGGTCTGGTGCCCAAATTATGGCCCACAATAATTTAACTGTAGGCTCCTTGTCAGTTCTTCTATGGAATGCCAACGGACTGAAACAGCACAGTACTGAACTCGACTTATACTTGCACGAAAAACGGATTGACGTAGCACTCATTACAGAAACACACCTGACATCTCGATCAAAAATTTACATTCAGGATTACACAATTTATAGAACTGATCACCCAGATAAAACCGCACATGGAGGAACAGCTATACTCGTTAAAAATTCACTGAAACACAATCCCGTAGACTTACCCACTACACCCGACATCCAATCGACAGGAATAACACTATACACTAAACACTACACTATAACATTTGCCTCAGTTTACTGTCCCCCTAGGTACAAGCTTACACCCACGATGTTTTCTGAGTTCTTCAAACGCCTCGGAAGATGCTTCATCGCAGGTGGAGACTATAATGCTAAGCATCAAGGCTGGGGTTCAAGGTTGTCTACTCCAAGAGGCAGAAATCTCTGGTCTGTTCTCCATGAGCTTTCATTAGACACTGTAACTCCAAATTCACCAACTTATTGGCCCACCTCCAGACGCAAAACTCCTGACTTACTTGATTTCTTTATAACAAAAGGACTAAGAACCGTACCATTTGCCGTCAATACAAGCTCTGATCTTTGTTCTGATCACTCCTCAGTGCACATGGTTCTCTTCGACGCGCCTTCCGAAGTACAAAAAAGACCTAGGCTCATAAAAGGCTGCATGGACTGGGACGCATATAGAGACCATTTGAACACCAATCTTTCTGTTCCAGGTTCAATTAAAAATCATCAGGAATTAGAAGAAGCTGTTGAAAAATTCACAAAAAGCATACAAGATGCAGCATGGGCCTCATCAACATCCAGGCCACAAAAAGCAGCGAACTTGCCCCATTATCCTATGTACATAAGGGACTTGATCAGAGCAAAGAGAAAAGCACGTAAAGTATGGCAGACTAATAGACTTCCTTCAGACAGACAAACTTTTAACAGATTGAACAACGAACTCAAAAGACATATTCAAAAATTCAAAAGCACAAACTACGACAATTTTATTAACAACCTTTCGACGGACGATGGAAGTTTATGGAGACATACAAGGAATCTTTTAAAGCATCGTGAGGTGTCAGCACCCCTACGAAGAGAGGATGGTTCTTGGGCTGTTTCGGACGAGGAAAGATCTGAACTCTTTGCTAACCACCTTTCCACTGTTTTCAAACCACATACAGACTTAATTAATACAGAACACGATATTTTTGTACATAATAACTTAGACATACCGTTACAGCTCACACTACCACCACCTCCTTTCACACCATCACAAGTTGCACAAGAAATTAGACAATTGCCCAAAAGAAAAACCCCTGGTCATGACTTGATAACTGCTGAGGCGCTCCAGCAAATGCCAAGGAAAGCTCTAGTGTTTCTTACCACAATCTTCAATTGCATTCTCAGGACCACTAAATTTCCTATACAATGGAAATACTCACACATAACCATGATTAAAAAGCCAGACAAAGACACTAACAATCCTTCTTCATATCGACCGATTAGTTTACTTCCAGTATGTTCTAAGTTATTCGAAAAACTGTTGTACCCACGACTATTGCATATACTAACAGACAGACAGATTATTCCTGACCATCAATTCGGGTTTCGAAAATTACATTCAACAACACAACAATTACACATGGTAACTGACTACATATCGACAGCACTAGAGCGAAAACTATATGCAACCGGAGTATTTCTGGATGTCGCCCAAGCGTTTGACAAAGTATGGCATCAGGGGCTTCTCTTCAAGCTTAAGACCATACTTCCACATACTTACTACTTAATTCTCCATTCCTTTCTCTCAGATAGATTTTTCTCCGTTCGACATGGTCAAGGTCTATCCTCAATTCGATCAGTTTTAGCTGGCGTACCTCAGGGATCAATCCTTGCCCCACTACTGTACATCACATATACACACGACATTCCTCAAAGTATCCACACTCTTACAGCAACCTACGCAGACGACACTGCTATCATTACCAGGCACGACAATCCTACAGAAGCATCACTTAACTTACAACATCACTTACAGATTGTACTCGATTGGTGTAAACTTTGGAAAACTCAAATAAATTATCAAAAGTCACAGCACATCACATTTACTCTAAGACCAGAAACATGCCCTCCTGTATACTTAGACAATGTACCAATTCCACAAACAGACAGAGTACAATACTTAGGCCTTACGTTCGATAGGAGAATGACATGGGGTCCACATGTGAAGAAAAAACGAATCAAATTAAATCTAAGACTAAAACTGTTACATTCACTGTTAAGACGACATTCCAAATTAAAAGCAAGACAGAAACTAAGTATTTACACATATCTTTTAAAACCTCTTTGGACTTACGGACTACAAATATACGGAATTGCAAAACCAACTCACATAAAAAAACTTCAAACTTTTCAGTCGAAGATACTACGACTAATCACTCAAGCACCATGGTACGTAAACAACCACACTTTACACACCGACTTACACGTTCCGACAGTTAACGAACACATACGAACGTACTACAAACGATTTCATAACATGTTAAACGGGCACTCCAACCAGCTGGTAAAAGAAATGGCCACAACTAGTATGCCCGAGAACTCCAGAAGAAGACTGAAAAGGGTCTGGATGAGGGATCTGCTGAAATAATGTTATAATAAGTAAAAGCCATGGAAGGGATACCGCTGGGTATTGCTATTCCTCATGCCTATCAAGCCTTTTTATTTATTTATTATTATTTTTTTTTTTTTTCTCTCATTACTACGCCAGCACATCTGCTGATTGTCAATCATAATTGACAGGTGCGGATAGATATATGTTAGTCCAAAAAAAAAAAAAAAAAAATCCATCTAATCAAAGCAAAGACATTGTTTAAAAAACTATTTCATAGTAGTTATGTGAAATAAGAAGTAAATTATTTCATGGATGTATAAAGCATGTGTTTATAACTTTAAATACATTTAGTGTTGTTTAATAATTCTAGATCTCATATTATATTTAAAAAATTAGCTATCAACGTCCGTTTATGCCGAAAAATCGTCATGTAAACTTTGAGAAAATTAAATTAGTAAATAGTTTGATGCATTTTCTCTCTTGGAATCCAAACATTATTCAATTAAAATTAGTTTGACAACTTTTGACCTCTCAGCAGGCAACGCAAATCTCGTAATTTCATTTTAGTAAACTTACATTGGGAAAAAACAGTTTAATAACTATGTATATATATATATATATATATATATATATATATATATATATATATATATATATCCTCGCGCGGGCTCATTACCGCGTATGGGGAGCGTCCCACGGGTGGCGGATGTGGGGATGGTCGGTGGAAATTTCTTGGAAGTTCCTCCCGGCTAAGTCCGATGGACTCGCTGACCAACAATGAGAGGGGCCCTCCAGACTTGCTGGAGGGAGGGGACCTCCAGACTTGCTGGAGGTAGGGGCCCACCAGTCTTGCTGGAGGGTGTGACGTAGGATTGAACGCCCTACTCACATATCTTTAGTTCACCAAACACCACAAAAAGTCATGGATCTTCCTAAGGTAAAACGCTCATTATCCGGAAGTAAACTAGTCCCCCGTTCGGGTCTCAGGGTGGGGACTGCTTTAGGGGATTCATGGCGCAAGTTGAAATATAGGGATTTAAATATTGGTACGTGGAACGTAAGGAGTTTAAACACAGCAGGGGGGCTAAAATCGGTCGCGAATGAGGTAAATGGGTACAATTTGGATGTCGTGGCTCTGCAAGAGGTTCGCTGGCCAGGGGAGGGCTCGATGAGGGAAGGGAAGTACACTATTTGGTACGGAGGAAGCGAGAATCATTGTTTAGGTACCGGGTTTCTAATTAGGCGTAGATTACTATCCGCTTTGAGGGACGTACAATTCTTTAGTGATAGAATTTCGGTAGCTACATTTCAGGGACGTTGGTTTAAAATCGCATTAATAAACATACATTGTCCGACCGAAGACAGTGACGATGAAGTCAAAAGTGAATTTTACGATAAACTCGAATGGGTTTATGATAAACTACCACGAAACTACATGAAAATAATTGTAGGTGACGCGAACGCAAAGGTAGGAAGGGAAGAAGTTTATATTCCGACGATTGGTAAAGAAAGTTTGCACGAATATAGTAATGATAATGGGATCCGTCTGATAAACTTTGCCATCTCGAAAAACCTGATAATTAAAAGTACGACGTTTAAACATAAGGATATTCATAAATATACTTGGACATCACCGGATTCGCAAACACGAAATCAAATCGATCATGTCTTGATACAACACAGCTGGCAAAGTAGTATAATTAATGTACGGTCTTATCGCGGAGCAGAATGTGGGTCGGATCATGAATTAGTAATCGCGAAACTTCGACAAAAACTTAATATAAAAAAGAGAAAAGAAAACCGTTTCGATTTTGAGAATTTTAATTTGGAAAAATTAAAAAATCCATCAATTAGAAACCAATTCGAGCTAGATGTTAAGAATAGGTTTGAAGCTTTAGAGCTTCCTGACGAGGACCACGAGGATATTGACAAGTTATGGATAGAGATCAGAGATAATATTAAAGCGGTCGGTAACTCGTGTCTAGGAAAAAAGGAAAATAAGAATAACAAACCGTGGTTTGATGAAGATTGCTTAAACATGTGTGAAAAAAGAAAAGCCGCTAAATTAAAAGCTCTAAATAATCCTAGCGAAGACAATCTGGAATACTTCCGAATCTCAAAGAACGAAACGACAAAATTGCTCAAAAATAAAAAAAGGGAGTATCTTAAAAATAAAATAATTGAAATAGAAACTAATAGAATCGAAAATAACGTAAGAGACATGTACAAAGGTATAAACAGATCACGTAAATATGTAGGGCCCGTAACGTCTGGAATTAGGGATGATAATAACAATATTCTGACCGATCCGGTTGACATATTGAATAAGTTTAAGGACCACTTTGACAATATTTTAAATACGGGAAATTATGATCTGTGTCCTCCTTCTGAGTACCAGAGTGCTGAACCGTTAATAGAAGGACCAACTAAAGAGGAAGTTAAAGTAGCTATCGGAAAATTAAAATCATATAAAGCAGCGGGAATCGATAATATTCCTACTGAACTAATTAAGGCATGCGGAGAAGCTGGAGTTTCTAAAATACATCGGTTGGTTAAAAAGATCTGGGTGAACGAGAAATTACCTGAAGAATGGAAAGAATCTATTCTTATTCCGATTCACAAAAAGGGTCCGAGGACGGATTGTAATAACTATCGAGGAATTTCACTCCTTCCGGTATGTTATAAAATATTCACTTTAATCTTAACCAGTCGAATCACGGAATACGCCGAGGAAATTATCGGAGACTACCAATGCGGATTTAGACGGAATCGTTCGACTATTGATCAAATATTTTCTTTACGGCAAATATTAGAGAAAAAATTGGAGTATAACGGTATTGTTCACCAGCTGTATATAGATTTTAAAAAGGCTTACGATTCTATTGACCGCCAGAAATTGTATAATATTCTAATCGAGCAGGGGATTCCAAAAAAACTAGTAAATCTAGTCAGGATGTGCTTGACGGAGACACTCAATAAAGTTAGAATCGGTAATAATTTGTCCGAAAAATTTGAGGTTCGTTCGGGCTTAAAACAGGGGGATTCTCTTTCGCCTGTCCTGTTCAATTTGGCATTAGAACATGCCATTAGGGAGGTAATGCGAACCGAGAAAGGGTTGGATCTGGGCGGGACAACATCCGTGCTGGGCTATGCTGATGATCTGGTACTGTTAAGCGAAGACGTTGAAACTATAAAACTGAATACGACAACGTTAATGAAAGCCGGGAAAGAACTAGGACTCGAAATAAACGTGGATAAAACAAAATATATGGTTAGCTGCAAAAATGGCGATATTACTGGTGATATTGATATAGATGGTAATATCTTTGAACAGGTAGATAAGTTTAGGTATCTAGGTTCTACGATAACTAGAAAAAACGAAATTGAAGAAGAGATTAAGGTTAGACTGAAGGCGGGGAACGCTTGTTATTTTTCTGTGACAAAACTACTTAGTTCGCGCCTCTTGTCCCGAAACTTAAAAATTAGAATCTATAAAACAATTATCTTACCTACAGTTCTTTATGGATGCGAAACTTGGCCGCTTACATTAAGGGATGAGCAGCGTCTTAAGGTTTTTGAAAATAAAGTATTGCGTAGAATATTCGGACCGAAAAAGGATGAGTTAACCGGAGAGTTCAGACGGTTACACAACGCCGAATTGCGTGAGATGTATCCGGGTAATATAATTGAGGTAATTTCATCGCGGCGAATCAAATGGGCTTGTAAAGTTGTTGGGCTTAGTAACGAGAGAATTCCTAAAAGGTTAATATTTGCTGTGCCGAATGGTAAGCGTCCGAGGGGTAGACCGAAGCGAAGATGGGAGGATTGCATTAAAGCCGATCTGAAGGGACTGGGTTTGGACGGCGAACGGTGGAGGGAGGTGTGTAACAAGCGATTGGTGGTGTCGGCATCGAACCTTCGGGTTCGCTAAGCCTTATTATTATTATTATTATTATTATTATATATATATATATATATATATATATATATATATATTATATATATATATATATATATATATATACAATGTAAGTTTACTAAAATGAAATTATAACTAAAATGAAATCGTAACTTTTAATATAGATATATATATATATATATATATATAGCTCAGTGACTGGAGTTATGTGGTTTACAAAATCTGAAGGAGTACCGATGTTTGTATTACCTATCGTTGATTTTTGTTATTTTAGTAGTCATAATGATTTGTTAGGTGTGAGATTTAAGTTATATCTCCGTTAAAAGTGCACTTCAAAAATTTGATAATTGCCCAATATTGCCTGAAAATAATTTATATTAAAAGATGTTTACTTGTTTATATAAGTAAAATATATATTTTATGTTTTTACTACTTTCAAAAGCTCTTTAAATCTTTCCAAGTTATCTAAGAATGTAGAATGGCAGAAAATAAGAACTGATGAAAATAGATTTTGTTGTACAAAAAGCATACATTTTTCTATATTCCATTTAAAAAATAAAATAAACCGTTTCAAGTAAATTTAAGTTATTTATGAAATTTTAGCACTGTTTGTCAGGCTACATTATATAATTTTATTGACAATGACATTATGTTTGTTTATTGTATAATACATTATTAAAGGTTAATCTTAAATTATACAATCTGTCATGAAATAAATAAATAGTAGGTGTTCTTATGTTAAATTATCAAATGTAGAATCAGATGAAATTCGACACTTCCAAGGTTGTTGATAGTCTTTCTATCGTGGTATACATTTCATCACTGAAGTAATAATTATTCTTATTATATAAATTATCATAAATAATTTATACTTACGTTATTTGTTAATCTGTCGCTGTTGTCTCTGATCATTAATTGGTATAGCAGTATGTTAAATTCTTTAACCTGAGAAAAAAAAATAATTCGACTAATACGGATATGATAGATCTTCTGAAATTTATAGATTGTTATAAAGTATGGGATCAGTTTATAGAGCATATAGAATAAGTTGTTACTTATTTACTCCTAGCGTTTCTATGTTAGGGAAACATAAATGTGTACACTACTAGCTGGTCCGTTCGAATAATTCCCAGAAAAATTTGTTTAGTGAATGGTGTACGCATCAAAATCTTCAAGATCCAATTTGTCCCGCATCGATCTACAAACCGTTACAATATTGAAGCCTAGCAAAATGTTTGTATCGACTTTATTTATTTTAGAAAGAAAAACAAAAGCGGAGAGTATGATTCGCTAAACCCCGAGAAATTCTTAATTCAATGGTACCGCATTCATGACAGGAGCTTATATTTGGTACAAAACCGATTTCGAGCTTTACTGTAATTATGTATGTGGGGATATCAAAATTAATGGACTGTATCTTTGTAAATAATGGTCGATTTTTTTTTTTTTGTAGATAATTTAGTAATCCTTCTAATAATCATGAGTACATTCAAGAAAAACTGCATACTTTTTGAGTAATTAACAAATAAAAATTATTTTCCTTCATAACTTTTTTTCACAAATTTCGAAGGCTATGACTATTGTTCGCATTTGAAAGAGAAGAATATCTTCAAAATGAGAGCTCAATCATCGGATTTGATATAGAATTGACAAAGTTATGGCGTACTGAAACAAAAATAGTTTTTAGAAATAATATATAAGATTGTTGTCACAAGAAAGAATATACTGTTGTTTTTTATTGAGAGCTCGGTGGAATTGTTTTTTTATTATTTTTTTTTAATACTGAGTTATTCATTCTTTTAATTGAATTTGCGAGTTTCTGACTTTATATCTTTTTTTCTGAGGTCTGGGTTTTTCTTTCATGCATATTCCCAGCTTAGCGGATATTTATAATGGCTTACAACCAATTTTTGAAGCCTTTTATTTTTGATGTTGTCATTTTGTTTATATTTTTTTCAGTGGCTTGGTACATGTTCAGAGTAACTTTGATCTGGCAAAAGGACATACATTTTTCTTCTTACCTCCATCACCATTTCGTTTCCTTTTATAAATTACATCTTGGCTTTCCATAATAAGTATTGTTTTTTTAAAAGATACTGTAATAATGTTTTGTTCCCTGACTTCATTATTATCTGAATTTTCATTCTAAATATAACATAAAAAAGTCAATCGTTTAGGATAAATAATGGGGAAACCTGAAGTGGTTTTACGATATGATGAGTTTTTGAGAAGGGCAGACAGAATTGACCCAAAATGGCATTACCTAGCTCACAATCAGAACGTAAAACACTTCAGAGCTTTAATCATAATTGATAAAATTCTATATCAATTAAAATATTTTTGCAGGTTAAATGATTCCATGAAATAATACTTATTAATTCTTTATCAGTATAAATCTTTATCTGTTCACTCTATTTTATTTAATATCGTTTTACTTCTTTTTTTTTTTTTTTTTTTATTTCTTTATGACATTTACAACTGTATTACATAAATACATCAAGTAAATTTGAACATAATTGATATAATGACATGAATACACTTGCTGAGTAACTACCCAATGGTAGCACTCTAATGATATGACTACATTAGGAGATCACGGGGCCATCTTCTTTTCAGACGCCTCGGAGGGGTTTTACTTTTTAAAGTCCAATTTCGATATGCAATTCTTTAGTGATATTTATCCTTATTGCGTTAGTACTATTATCTCAGATCGCTCCGGTTATATCAACAACTCTTAGAATATTCTTCAATTTTAACTCTGATGAAGATCTGCAAATCGGAACGTAGATATCATTAACTATTTCACACCTCTTAAAGTTATTATTTTTACCGTCACCCTTTCTTCTCTCCTAAGAACTATAAAAATCTGGAGCGCGCAACACACAACTTTCACATACTGCTCAAGTTTGAATAGAAATTATTTTCTGGCCATGTTGGGCTATTATAAATATTTTTAATTGCATTTTAAACTGAGCTAAAGCTAAAAAATTACAGCTAACAAATCATAAATACCATTAAAATAACAAAAGTCCTATTTATTATGTCATCAGTTGGTTAGGGATTGTACGATCCGTTGATTATGGACTGTACGAATATTAGTTATTAAACTGTTATTTTCCATTGCAAAGTTTACTAAATGGAATCAAGGATTTTATACTGTCTGTGAGGAGTTCAATGACTTATGATAAGAATAAAGAAACTATTAAATATAAAGTTTGGATTTTTAGTCCCTACGTTGATAAGACACGAAGTCGAATAAGGAAAACTATTTTAAAAATCGAAAAAGAAAAATTAAAAATAATTAATATATTCCCATTATTTCTTGAAGTATTACAACGTTTCTTGTAAGCTCGATGGTTTAAGTCCATTACTCCACGACGAAGAAAGGGAGTAAGAGAAGAAAAGTCCAACTCTTTAAAGGCGGTTTGTCTTTAGTCAACTTTATGTGACCGGTATTATATTTACTACAGTTAATCTAATTTTGATCAAATTTTTCCGTACCAATTCCTTCCAGTATTTTCCATAAGCATGCATAAACATACTTTGTTTAATAACTATATTTGAAACATATACTAACAAACTAAATAGAAAAGAACTAGTCAAGATATTCAGACTCAGGATTAACCAAACCAGACTATATTCTCACCCTTACAGAAAATTCTGAATTGCAAATAATCCTTTGTATAACAATTATGTGGATCTGGGCGGGACAACATCCGTGCTGGGCTATGCTGATGATCTGGTACTGTTAAGCGAAGACGTTGAAACTATAAAACTAAATACGACAACGTTAATGAAAGCCGGTAAAGAACTAGGACTCGAAATAAACGTGGATAAAACAAAATATATGGTTAGCTGCAAAAATGGCGATACTACTGGTGATATCGATATAGATGGTAATATGTTTGAACAGGTAGAGAAATTTAGCTATCTAGGTTCTACGATGACTAGAAAAAACGAAATTGAAGAAGAGATTAAGGTTAGACTGAAGGCGGGAAATGCTTGTTATTTTTCTGTGACAAAACTACTTAGTTCGCACCTCTTGTCCTGGAACTTAAAAATTAGAATCTATAAAACAATTATCTTACCTACAGTTCTATATGGATGCGAAACTTGGCCGCTTACATTAAGGGATGAGCAGCGTCTTAAGGTTTTTGAAAATAAAGTATTGCGTAGAATATTCGGACCGAAGAAGGATAAGTTAACCGGCGAGTTGAGACGGTTACACAACGCCGAATGGCGTGAACTGTATCCGGGTAATATAATTGAGGTAATTTCATCGCGGCGAATCCAATGAGCTTGTAAAGTTGTTGGGCTTAGTAATGAGAGAATTCCTAAAAGGTTAATATTTGCTATATTGAACGGTATTGAATATTGAATGGTAAGCGTCCGTGCGTAATAAGCGATTGATGGTGTCGGCATCGAACCTTCGGGTTCGCTAAGCCTTTCATTATTATTATTATTTTTATTATTATAATTATGTGAGTATGTTCTTCAGGAAACCAAACTCGATGGCAAACTGGAGCAGAACCAATGTGTTCCTTGTTTTATAATCGGGCGTGACCATTTAATTGCAAGAACTAAGAAGAAGAAATATATATTTTCAAAATGGCTATTTAAATTTGAATTTATGTTGAAGGAAAGTTGTTTCCTTAACATCCACTTTCCTTAATAAGCATGTATTTAAAAATTTAGTCTGGTAGAATCTAGCTTATCTGGTAGGATTCATTATGTAAAAAAATGTATTAATTTATTTTATATTAAAAAAAAATATTATTAAATTTCAAGTTAGAATATAGCAAAGATAGTTAAAGGAACGGCCATGCAAGGATTTAAAATCCAAGAATCCTGGAAAAGAACCGAGTATAGAATTTCATAACTGAAAGTAATACCAAACTATCAACAATGAAAATTAAATTTTAATTTTCAAGTGCTACAAAAAAAAATCTGGTGTGTCCACTCACACGACTTTTCTAACTATATCAGAAAAGTTTTTATATCTTTAGATATGTCCATCAAGAAATAAAAAAAAATGAATTACATTTATTTTCCTGAAAATTGATCAAATAAAAGATTTGAGTACGATTTATTTGATAAACTAAAGCAATGTAAACCGGCTTAAAGTAGATCAGTGTAAAAATTTCAATACCCTCTAATATTGCTGATCAATAACTTTTTGCCTTAGTATAATTTTGTCAAATAATAATTTCCAATCCTTAAAAGTTTATATTAATATTTTGATGACGATTTTTCATAGCCAAGCTCATTCACTTCGCCATCTTCTACCACCGACATGTTTTTTTTAGCCTTTTCAAAAGTAGTATTTTGTAAAATATTTAAATATTAGAAGCGAAGGACATCGTCTCATGTTATGTATCATTTTGACAAATGGCGTAAAATTATGATTAGAGTAGTTAACTAGCTCAAGGAAATTGTTATCATCTTGTGGATATGCACGGAAATTATCTAGCGTACAATGGAGTTTGGGCATGCAAAAAAAAACTTGTGATAAGTCTGGTAAGTGTTATCAAATTAGGAATGCATTAAGTGTAATTAAAACTTTGAATGACCTGATCTACCAATAGATATATATATATATATATATATATATATATATATATATATATATATATATATATATTCTGTTGGCATTACAGATCATGCAGATCTATTGCCGCATTAATAAGTCTTCTCCATCTCTGCCTGTCTTGGGCTAATTCTTTTCATTTATCTGCATGCAGCTCAGTTGCATCTTTGTTGATTCTATCTATCCATTTGCTTTTTGGCCTTCCACGTGGTCTTTTGCCTTCTATTGAGGCATTCGTCGTTGCGTAGAAGATTCCAAATGGATTGCTACGAGCTACATGGCCAGCCCATCTTAATCTCCGTATCATGGGATATTGATTGAACAGTTTCTGTAAGCAGTTCTTTATTGGCCTTTCTTCTCCATGTGTTAGTACTTTGATCCCAGATCGCTCCGGTTATCGTGCGGAGGATTTTACTCTCAAATTTTTCAACACATTTTTGTTGGGTGCTGGTGAGAATCCAGGTCTCACAGATTTCTCTAGATTTTTCAGGATATCAATACCTTTGAGAGGAAGAAGAAAGTTCTGTTTTCGCTAGTTATACGCTGGTATATATCTGCCCGTTGGTCATTCATTGAGATTATTGTAGAGCCGAGGTATTTGAATCTTTCTACTCTCGGGAATGATTTTCCTTCTTCGCAGACCCTATTATTAGGATAGAATTTTCGGCTTGTTATCATATATTTTGTTTTATCTTCATTTACTTTTAGACTTATATGCTCTGCCTCTCTTATCAGTGTTGATTTCTTCCAAGGGCAGCTATATCATACCAATCGATATACGGTAAATGTATCAGTAATAGATGGTTTTCAACTCATTAACAGATAAGAAACTTTATAGACTGAACATAGAGTACAGTTAGAAGGGAGATGCCTAATCCGTAAGTGGTTTGATGCCACCACAGCCGATTAGCGGTTGTTTTGTTTAATAAAACAAGACTGGGATTTGTTTAAGAGAGAAGTTTGAAATTTTTAACTATTCATCTGTGGTTGGTCCAAATGCTGGACATTACCTAGTACATAGGAAGCCGTTCTTCTGAGGTTAGAGAGGATAATATTGAAGAGAATTTATGGCCCATTTTGCATCAAAGGAATCTGGAGGATAAGAACGAATGCTGAGCTAAATTTTTAGGGTTCCTGAGTCCAAATAACCAAGTGCCGCAAAATGGTCTGTGTGCGTGCTTGCGCGTGTGTTTGTATGAAAGTGAAATTGCACATTTATGGTTTGTTAAAGCAACATTTTTGTCAAAATTGGCTAACCGAAGTGGGACTTTATATCATAGATTTAACGCATTTCTACCATTTTCTCAAAAACGGCTCTAACGATTTTGATTATACTCAGTATATGAGTGTCTTATTAAGCATTTTTAAAGTAATGTATAGTTTAGTATCATTGATGTTCTCTAACAGGCCTTAAATGACTAATTTTCAATATTAACTTCTGCTAAAGTACCTTTGATTTTTTTATTTGAAATAATTAATCATTTCATATTAATCTTTAATCTTTAATAGTTAAATATAAAATATGAAAGAATTTGATAATTAACTAAAGGGGGAAATAAGAGATCGTAACGGTTAATACATAGGCTGTTTTTATAAATGCTATCTTTGGTATTATTTAACGTTTAATTGTATAGAATACAGTGATATGAAAATTAAAATTTGTATATATATATAAGGATATTTAAACAAATAAAAATAATCACAATGAAATGTAAATAAATATAGTCTATAATTTTTACTTTCACTTTCCGTTTGTTTGAATATACTTATTCCTGCTAAGAAGAGGGTGGTAAGTGAAAGTCGTGTGATGCGCACACCATATTTTTTTTTCTTGCGTTTCGGAACCTTGCAGAAGTGTTAGAATCCGTTAGAATCCAATAATTCGTTTCTAAATTCAGCATAAATCACCATCAGAGCTAAATTCAATCGATTGATAATACCTTTCGATGGATTTAACGATGAGTATAGGAACTTGTCCTATTTTAGAATAAAGCAATGGATTAACTATACCTTTTGAGTGGTATCTTTGCAGACTGTAGCAATAGTGAGGCAGAGGATGTTATAATACACTAAGAACACAACCATCTGAACGAATAATGACTCGCTGTCGTGGCTCGAACCCCAAGTAACATAAGTTATAGTGTAGTACATGTTAATTACTGAGTTCACCAAGATCATAGTAAGGAGAACCAACAGCTGTAAGGAATAGATGTCGTTCACGAGTTGGCAGGTAGAACACAATAGATGGAAGAGTTTCGTTATCTTCTCCAAGTTCTTCTCCGCATCGATCCCATTCTTGCAAACCTTCATGGTAGTCCATCGAAGACTTCTTATCCTCGTTCCTAAGTCTTTCAAGATCGCAATGAAAGGACGGATAAGAGTGTATTCGGACCAGTACAAAAAACACTGACCAGTGACCTCAACGACTCCCAACTCAGAAGAGAATGCAATCGGAAGGAAACTTATAAAAAGCATACAAATATCAAAAGAACTATCGATTTTTATATAAGGAACTGTCCCTAGGTTTTGGAAGCGTAAATTCGCATTTTCATACTGATCCAACAAACAATCGATACGGTTTTTGTGCGAAATTAGGAAAAAGAAGCTCAGAACATTAATAATGAACACGACGACATATTGAATATTAATATGATCAGTGTTAAAATCGAATCTAGCAATAACTCTGATCGCAATCAGCACTGCTCGAATGCCGAGAAGAGACCTTGAGAGAAGAAACCAAAATATATATTTTTGATTTATCTTGGAATGGTTTCCTTCGAATGAGAACGGGAACGAACCAGAAACTGTCGGCCAGAAGAAAGCTTTTTGGATGTTCACCGAGTTTTTGAATCGTAGGCATTTCATTTTTCGACAGTTAGGGTATATTTCTCGCTCTGATAAGACCACAGTGTGCTTGTAACATCGAACAACACAGTCTACACACAAGCCTTGGAGTCTTTTGAATGCCTTCTGTTCGAATTGGATTGGTTTCGATTTCCAGGCAACAAAGAGGTTACTTGTATTATTGGAATACTTCCATGGAATAAATCGATTGCAATATGTATTATACTTCAGTGGACTGAAGTGTACCTCATATTGACAATTCAGAACTCGTCATATCAAAACACATCATCTTCCAAAACAAACAATATCAATATATCATCAATATTGTTATTGCTTATTTATTATTTGAAGAGCGAGATAGCTCATTGAGTAAGGCACTGACTTGCAATCCTGGATGCTCTTGTTCGAATCCGGCTTTGGCAATTAATTATTAATTCATCAACCGTTGATCGATTATGGAATCAGGAGACACATCTATCCCCTATAAAGTGGATAACAACACGTGAAAATGGAGAGTTTCACTTCGAAATAAATTATAAAAAATCTAGTGTGAGCATTACACAACTTTCACTTACCTCCCCTTCTTAACAGAAATAAGCATTTTCAGAAAAAGAGGAAGTGAAAGTAAAAATTATGAATGCTATATTGATTTTTATTTCATTATGGGTATATACAAATTTTAATATTTTTATAGCTGTAATCTATACAATTAAATATTAAGTAATACCAAAAAAAAACTTTTATGAAAACTGCATATGTATATTTACATATTGTCGTAGTCCTTATCATATTAAGCTCTTGTTAATTATAGAAACGTGTTCTAATCTTTCGGGCGAGCTCGGGTGACCTCATATACCTGAATTACAACTATTCTCCGTTACTATCTCTAATATCTCCTGTAGTTAATTATCAAATTCTTGTTAATATTGAAAATTAGCCATTTAAGCCTTGCTAGAGAAACTCAATCAGAATAAAATCTACATTTCATTTAAAACTGCTTAATTTTACAGTGATATAATGAATCAAAATCGTTAGAGTTGTTTTTGAGAAAATCGTAAAAATATATTAATCCATAATATAAGTTTCTGTTTCTGATTTTGACGACAAATTTGCTGTAACATCCCAAGTTAGTTCATAATATAAGTTTCTGTTTCTGATTTTGACGACAAATTTGCTGTAACATCCCAAGGATATAAAAAACTTGAATATGCAATTTCACTTTCGTACGAATTTTCGTTTTTGAGCTAGCTGTTAACACACACACACACACACCATTTTGTGGGACTTGATTATTTGGACTCAGGGGACCTCAAAAAGTGTATTTCAGTTGAAAACTGAGATTCGAAAATTTTCACGCTTTCCATTTGTATTTATTTCATATATAGGCAAGTGAAAGTAAAAAATGTTGGATATGTAGAAGATACTCCATACAAAAGAAAATGTATCGTTAAAACTCTGAGAAGAGAAAAAAACAAAAGAAATCGGACTACAAGTAAAATAAGAAAATACATAATAGTAAACCAAACACTCCTACTCAAACAAGCTGAGAAGAGGGATAATTTTCTATTATACTAGCCCTCACAGAGTCAGGTCATAACATCATTTGTAATTACAGTTAATGTTGGATGTTAAATTAATATTTGGAAAAGTGATTATAATTCTGTAATTAAATTAACTAAGCGAATAGGAAACCCTCCAAACTTACTTGTCCGATTGAATGATGTCCGTGGACTAACTCTATTATGATAATTTTATTTATTTAAGCAACTATTTAGTTGAGTTTTCACTAAAAGTTTTTTAATTTGTTTTCATATAAATCATATGTACTTTGAACTCAAGACTATCTAGCCAAGTCAAATTAGCACAAAAAAAGGAGTTTAGCTTACAAAAGGTGGGGGACCTTTTGCAACGTAGTGTGTCTAATTCGACTGAGGTAGTGTGACTATATAATTGAATGTTGAAATTGCAAGGATAAAAAATATGAAGTTGACTGTTTAAAACATTTCAATAAATAAGAAATATGAAAAAAACGTCGTTTTGAAATAAAAATTAACAAATATAAATCGTTTCTTAACAATTATCAATTGTTCAAAGGCCAGACAAGAACTGAGCACATACAGAATTTTTAAGAAACTATTTATATTTGGTAAGTTTTATTTTGATACTTTTTTTTACTTTCCTACCTATACTAAGTTACCTCGGAAATTGGATCGGGTCAAATTTCCGATATGCGGTTTTCTACAGATCTATACATTTCAGAGTCCCTTGTGTCCGAAAAACACTGTTTAGCCTGTTTTTTGAAAGGAGATGAAATTCCTTACAAAACTATATAAAAACTTCATTTAGGACAACTATAAACAAAGTTAAAGCAATTCAATTTCCAATATAAAATTATGGGTTTATATCCCGGTGTCAGAAAGGGATAAATGAGAGAAAAAAGATGACTAAATGAAAGTATGAAAATCTGTTGCCCGCATCACACATGCTTCACTATTTCCTCTACTTTTAACAGAAATTATTGTTTGACAAAATTAAGCTATGACAAAAAGTTTTTGATCAACAATATTAGAGTGTTGAAATTTTTACACTGATCTACTTTAAGCCGGTTTACATTGCTTTAGTTTATCAAATAAATAATACTCAAATCTTTTCTTTGATCTATTTTCAGGAAAATAAATCGAATTCAATTTTTTGTTTGTTTCTTTTTTGAAAAACTTTTCTGAAATAGGTAGAAAAGTCGTATGAGTGGACACACCAGATTTTTTTCATTGCATTTTTTTGTTTATACTAATGATATGGTTAATTAAGTTTTACTTTTTATATACTTATCTTTTTCATTTATTTATAATAAAAACATTTTCTGAGCATATTATAATGTATTTATTACTCTTATATGATGTGTATGTTTCATATTTTTCTTCTCTTATTTAGATACTTTTATATTTATCATTTTTCTGGGGGTAATTTTGTAGTTTTTAATTTTTAGGCATGGTCATATGACCAATACAACTTAGGTCAAAATGTTGGCAAACTAAATAATTATTACATACTCTCACTATTTTTATCCTTGAACCAAAAAATGTTTATTACATTGTTAAATGTTTATTAATATTATCTATAAATCAGAATTCTTATCAATATAAGATAAGAAGATTGTACACCCAAATTCTGAAAGATTTTTTATTTATTTTCCGTGAATAATGTTACAAAATGATTATCTAATGTATTAAATGTAAGAACAATAAATTAAAACAAGTAAAATAAAACAAACACATCTAATTATTAATTTTATTCATTTTAAACAAGAAACTGTACTTCACAGAAGAACATATAAAACTGATTAGTATAAATATTCTCACAATTTTTTTTAAACAAATTTTAATAGTTTTTATTAACTAAGTAAACTAATGACTTCAATTAATTACAATTACACTATTCAATTATAATATTGTCAACATAATTAATGAGTAGTATTAACAATGTGTAGTTATTGTTAATTGTTGTTAATTAGTGAGGATGACGAAGGAGGTAAAGTACACAGATAATATTTTAGTACAATCGCTTCGGTAAATATTTCTATATTTTAATCACATATTCAAGTGTGATTAACCGACTTAGTTATTAAAGTCTTCAAAAGATTTTTTTATAAAATCTAAATGAAGAAGAGTTGACTAGTAGGGTAAGAAAAGTGGGCCGGAGAACTGTCTCCGATAGAGAGGTATCGTGGCTTCCATTTCGCTCTTTCGTGCGGTAACCCTGTCCAACTTTGATTGAGCATCTCTGGAAAAAATAAAAGTAAAACAAAAGTTAATATATCACTATAATAAATTGAGATATATTTGAAAAATTATTAAAATTTTGTTTAGACGGATAGTTGGATAAATTTGTATTGAAATAGATGATGTATACTAATTTCTTCCAAATAGTATTATATATGATTACTTCCAATCAACTACGATTGAATTTATTTGTTGTATTATCAAAATTGCATGTTTACAAGTTTACGTTTCGGAATATTTACTCCCATACTAAAAACTGAGCAGGCACAGCACTAATACAAAGGATAAAATAGACTTAATAGACAAGAAAAATGTAATATATAAATTAAATTGTCAAAACTGCCCCAAATTCTAAATTGGTGAAACATCCAAGCAATTAGGGATCAGAATTTCACAACATATTACTAACTGTAAAAATACAAAAAAAACATAAACACAACAGCTTTAGCACATCACAGCATAAATTTAACTTCAATAGACCACAGATATTAGGCACAGAACCAAAAAAAACCAATAGGAACTTACTTGAAGCCATACACATCACAAAAAACAATAGAACAACAGTAAACTATAAAACAGACACTAAACATTTAGGAACACATTATGCGGATATATTAAACAAAATTAAAATTTAATAAAAATGAAATAGCAGATACATAAAAAATAAACATTAACAACAATAGTATAAAAATAAAGTTATATCCAAAGGTGAACTGTATTCACTATGGCAGACACCCAATAATTAATTTAAAAGTAAGATGTTGCTCAAGATGTTATATACCTAGATTTATTGTAACATGAAATAGAAACTGACGATGGAGCATATTAGATTTAAGGTAATTATAAATTTATAGTAGCAACCCAATTGTAACATGCACTATATTTTAACTCTAAACATTTTTTAGACTTGTATTCACAAGATCATTGGAATTGTGGTTCTGAAGATGGGAGTGAATATCCCGAAACATAAACTTGTAAACATGCAATTTTGATAATACAACTCAGTTCTCAATTCAATTGTTGTTAATTGGAAGTAATCGTTGCCAAATAACAAATAATATCATACAACTTTCCAGAAAAAAGAAAATTATATAGATATAATCAGGGATATTGGTACAAATGCAATAAGTATTTTTTATAATTTATCATACGTGAAAATATTCAGGACGTAGTCGTTTTTTACTTTTTTTATTAGAGCTGACGTTTAAACCCGAACATGTGGGTCATCATCAGGCCATGTTTTGAGCACTGAAGATATTCAGTACTCTCACTCAAATTCTCTTCAAGGAGTACGTGAATACCTTCAGTGCTCGAAACAGACCCTGATGAAGGGGTTGAAATTGCCATATGTTTGGGTTGAAACGTCGGCACTAATAAAAATGTTAAAAATGACAGCATTCTGAATATTTACCACTCATGGTATGTAGCACAGTCGACTAACTTCCTTCAATTTTTTATAATTTATGTATACACGTTCACTTTTTTATTCACATGCTTATTATATTAAGTATGAAAGTATGCTTTAACAGTATTTGTTTTACTGAATAATGGCTCTAGTAAAAGACTTAAATGACAGATGACTGAAATTTTATTGTTAAAATAAATAAATAAATTGGTAATCAAATGACATTTTGCTTGAAAACAACATAATTTATGTATTTCCTTCCACAGAAAATTACACCCACCTATCTGAGGATATTCTTCTCCTCTTTTGTTACTAGGCCTTTAATGCCTTAGACTACCATTTTTGGTCTTATACAGCTATACAGAATACTTGATCTCTCTAGAATAATTTTATCCTTTAAGTATTAAGTATTTCTTATTGATACAAAAAAAAATTTCTTACCTTAAAATACTTGAACACGGTGGTTCTCTCGGTCGCACGCGAGGATACAGTTGGTCGAGGTAACTGCTACTCCTTCGAGGCCCTTGAACTCTCCCTCGCCGGAGCCCCATGAGCCGAACCCCCTCAGAAATACTCCTTCGGGGCTGAAGATCTGTAACCGATTGTTCCCGCTGTCCCCTACCACTATATACCCCTGGTCGTCCACTGCCACTCCCCTGGAATTGATATAAATTTTTATAATCTAAATATTTATTTTATGTTTAACAAAATAATAAAAAAGATTTATCAGGTTCTTTGCTGTTTTGATCAATTTTCTATTTAAAAAAAAAAAGCGATTATAAAAAAGAGATAAATTAACGATTATTGAAGTTATTAAAATATTTAATAATTAAAAATTTATTAATAGCAATGAAGCAATAACTTAAAACTAAATAACCTTTAATTAGTAGTTTATTTTTTTAATAATTTAATTTCTCTGAAGTAAGAGATGGTCTCAATAGCAGTAAAAAAAAGAACTTCAAATAGTAAAAACTATTGCTAAGGTTTCAGCTCCCTTTGCAGGACTTCATTGGGGCCAATATACAAAAAATGTAGTCGATTAAAATAATGTATACAATTAAAATATTTAGAATATGAAATAACTATGAGCAGAATCAACTTAAATAAAGTGGCAAAATTTAGGGGATGACAAATTTTGAGAGAACTTTTTTTTGTGGGTGAGGGAAGTAAAAAGTATTTTTTTTTTCAACTTTTTGATTGTTTTAGCCTTCAGTCAGTTAATAAAACGAATTAATACAATAATAAGATAATATTTGTATTGAAAAAAATTACTTATATAGCTTTTATCAAACTGTATTGACGATTATTGAGAGGAAACTGAAAGAAGCTTTTCATTTAGTTCCAGATATCTTCTAAGTATATAGAAGTCAATTTGAAGCTGATAAAAATATATACTGTGCATCAGAGAAATATTACTCCTTGGTAGGTAATATTATTCCAACATTAGAATCATTTCTTCGTATCCAAATTTAAAAAATAAATAAATACGTTTTACAGAGAACTAAATTCTAGTTTTGTAGAGGTCTCTTCTAAATCAGTCAGTTCATTAGTTTTTGCTTACATTGTCAAAGAAATTATTCTAGTTTTGTTGTAATTTTGTTCCTCAGATGTAAATTTCCCCTGTTTTATGGCAACGATAAAGATTAACAGATAAATTATTGTAATCGATCAATTTTATTATTTGAGGTTTCTTTTTTTCACTACCTATTGCACCTTATTTTCTCTCATTATTTATTTGTTAAACTAATAAATATTTCACATTGTTTTATCCATAATTTTTTTATCTCTTATTTAGTTTCTATGTTATATATAATGTTCAAAGTTTAATATTTTTCTTTTAATCAACCAATAATTTATAAATCAAATGAGAAAGTTTTTAAAATTTGAATAGAACTTTTTTCGCACAATTTTACTCTAAACTCAGGACATAAATAACTTAATTTAACATTTATACATTCTTAAAAATATAAATTTACAAATATTCTTTTATTTAATATTTAGAATTTATTTAATGCTTTACAGATTAAAATAAAAAAAATATATTTATATCACAAAGACTGTCTAAAAGATTCTGTATGCATAGACCACAATTACTGAATATCGCACAGTGCATGTTTCAATAACGTACAAAGTGTAAGTAACATCGAGGAGTGAAGTGCAAAAGGAATAATTATTATTGATATATACACATGATAAAGAGAACCAGCAAAATGTAAAAATTAATTTTTAAGGAATAAATCAATTTTCAATAACACACAATATTTTCCAAGGCAGATTGAAAACATTTAATATTTAATATAAACTGCTCAAAAATGAACAGGGATATTGTTAGTTATGTATGATTTATTTTTCCTAAAATTTTCATTAAATTTTATTATAAAATACATTGAAAATTAATACCAATGAGATTGTATTTGACTTCAGGAAATTTTATAAAACGGGTTTTAAATAAATAAATAAAATAAAACGTTTTTATTATCTTTTTATGAATGCGAATTGTAAGTAATATTCTCTGTTATGCATCTTTCTTCACCCATTGGGCTTACTACTTATTATATAGTAACTTAAACATGATAATTCTGTTCTCAGTTGCTGAAGATTAAGAAGCTGCAAATGGTGATGAAAAAGCCTTTCCACAGTACATCCCAAATGTGCTCAATGGGATTGAGACCTAGATACAATAAGGGCAGGAAAAGATGTGAATTGTCCAGACTTTCAACATATCGATAAACAACTTTTTCCCTATGAGGTAGCGTATTTTCATCACGAAAATGGAAATCTGTACCTATTATGGTCCTAAGCTAATGAGTGTACTCCTCTATAATGTTTTGAACATAATGAGCTGCAACGAGATTGCCTTATACAAAATGGTGTTGAGTATGTCTTCCTGAGTAAATGCTGGTCCATACCACCTACCATTAGAATTCATTGAAGGAAGAAGACTCTTTCTTCGATCTACAACTGTTATAAATACAGAAATATGACTCGTCTGCAACAACATTCCGATTTGTATTCTCTTCTAGGTGCACGCTGCACCATAATCTGCAGAGTTGCCGAAGATGGACTGTTGCTGCAGGTCGCCTTCAAGTGGTATAATGTGTAAGATCATCTTCTCACAAATGATTACGAATGATTCGAGTTGATATGGGGCTGGACAAAACATTAGAAACTTCATTTATGCCCTGTAGGGTGTTATGAAAAGGTTTACTCCTTGCAGTAATAACAATATTTCTCTCATCCCTGGGTGTCATAATGCAGTGGGATTAGGGGTGCACATCCTCCGCAAAATCGATGGCGCATGATCTTTCCCACATTCCTCTTAAAATATTTTATTGTTCTTCTCTTCTTAAAAACAATGAAGCGAATGTAGAATTTAAAATCGTAGATTATATAATTACATATACTGCAGACTGTTCTATGCCTCCACTCGTCATTTTGTTGGAAACATTTAATTTTGAATATTCATAACACTGTCGAAATGTGTTCCCCCAAAAAAATTCTAAACCAGTCAAAATGTGCCGCTCACAAAAATATTGATGGCGCAATTTGCGTGGGATCAGCTAATAGGTGTCCTATCGGTACTAACAGTTTCTCTGAATCTGGCTAAAACCTAGGTGACCAGAATCTATGAGATGAGAACTGCATCGGCGATATTCACTTGCTGCTGCCCTTTACTCCTTATTCTCACGATAAAATTGCTAAATTCTGGTTCAATATGATGTTTTTCTATCGTTTAACAGAATATTGCTGAGTTAAAATTGTGATCATTATTAGTGCTATAAATTAAACTCCTGTCATTTTTACTTTAATCAAATTTATGATCTAATTGTACATAAGATTGTTTTATTTGTTTATTTTTACTCAAAGAAAGCAATATTATTTAAATGACATATCTCATTCTGCCTTGAGAAAATTATTTTCATATTTAATCATTAAGAATAATTTGAGTCATAGAAGTGATAAAAAATTAAGAACTTGTGAATTGATTTTTTTTTTTCATATTGTTCCTTTTATGAAACTGATGTTGAAAGATATGTGTCATGAAAAACTTTTGAGTTGATTTCAATAAAACATTTTGCTAGATTTGCTCTAAATGTATATATTAATAAATTAACAGTTCATTACAACACGTTAAATTATTACAATAGTTGCAACAAGAAAACATAGACATTTATTTTTATTTATTCCATGAAACATAGCTGTTCCTTCCTCTTCATCAGTCAGTTATATTCAATATTTTCTTTCACATTTCTTTACGAGCTGTTCAGTTTTAATTCACAACCATGCATCGAACTTACTAACACAAATCAAATCAGCAAGGGCAAAGAAGCTTCAAATTAAACCAAATCTGAAATATTATTTCAATTTAAAATAGATTAATACCGATATGTTTCATTATAAATTACTTGCTATACAACTAAGCCATTATTTCTCTTTAAAAAAATAGAATATGTCAAACAAGCGAGTTGTTTTAATCAATGTCACTAACTCTAGTAACTGATCTATTTCTAAGCTTGGGTTATTTGAAAACACTCTCTATTCTATCTTAAATAAGCTTGAAAATATAAAAAGTAAACAATTTTTAACTGTTATAAAAAATTACAAAGTACTCCATAGAACTTTTAAAACGCTCCAAACATTTTGAGGTCATTAGGTGATCAGGAAAAGAATCTCAAATATTATAATAAAATTGATAATATCGAAGAAAAACGTTTATTTCACCCTTATACTTTTATTCCATGATTTAATTCATCTAAATTTTCTGACTACCTTTCGTGCAATTTCGCCCATTTTTAAAGTCAAATATTTATATCATTATTATATAATCCATATAATTATATATAAGTTTTTATATAATTATTGTAACATTTATCTCTTAAAATTATAAAATTCATAAATTATTTATGAAAAGTCAATTCTAAAACCAACGTGGACAATCAGAAATTAAAATTAGTGTTAAATTTACTCAAATGTTACATATTTTCGTCCTTTTAAATACAACAGCTTAATTTTGAAGATTTAAATAAAATATTATAAAAAAATTTATATGTAGATTCGTTGTGAACTTAAAGTAATAATAGACTGAAATTTTGTATCTTCTATTCCAAAAATTTCATTAACTTTATTCTAAATCACATATATTTGAATATTTTGATGATTTTCTATCTTCAGCAAGCTCTATATATTTTTGTAGAGGTTACTCAAGATAGGTGAATGTTATCTTTCAATAAATAGTTTATAATATGTGAGATTTTATCTTGAGTTCCACCCATAATGTCTTTGTGTATATTCTGTCAACTAATAAATAGCAAATATAAATAATGCTGTTTTATTTAAGACGTTTACCACTGATGAAATTAGGTTCATATTTCTTCAGTTGAAACTCTTTATTATTTGTATTTTTAAATTATTCTTTTATTGATATTTTATTTTTATTCTTATGTACCGATATGATTAAAAATTTACTACTTTTTTCAGTATCACATTTCATATTTATTAATATTTACACCCATACATATTACATATTTATTTTTGGTTTTTTGATCTTTGCTCATATTTATACATTTTCTAACCTTGATGAAGGTCTGGCATTGAGCTTCAAAACTTTATAGTGTTTTATTTTCATATAAAATAATTTCGGAGTAAACCTCTCTAA